TTATATTTAAAAAAAATCAAGTATCGAGAATATCATTGCCCTTCCTGGCACTGTACACGCGTAGCGTCCACGCAGCGGTTGACGGTTGAGTCGAAAGCATATCCTTCATCGCAGAGCAGCAGACGCGCTACGCCCTCCATGCACGAGAAGAAGTAGTGGCAGCTTCCCTTAATGCTGTCGACATGAAACAAATGTAATTAAGATATTTTTTTCATATTTTTTACACTATTCATAAGAAAAGAAAACTATCTTGTAAATTACCTGAAGTTTACTACGTATGCTTTGCCGAACTCGTCGTACGTAGCCGGAGGACATTTGAAACCGAGGAATGCTGGAATAGAAGGAAAGGTTATTCCCTTATCAAACCGTAACCGTACCATTACAAGTATTAAGAGTATCAATAATAAATAAAATCGATTAACAATTACCCTCTGCGTCGCATGTGGGGACGAGATCAGGCCAGTCGCAGCGACCGGTCTCAGGATTGAAGGCAAGACCCATTGAGCACTCCATTTCGAACGCTTTGCCCTCCACACACATGCGGTATTTGCCACAGTCGGAGCGAGTAGCTAATGGCGACGCGAAGAATCCGTATTGGTGTTTGCATTCTTGTGTTGGCATTGCTTGCTCTGTTGAAAAATACGTAAAATAGTGATTTAAATCTAGCCTAGTGTTAAAATACTCGTAAATATGTCGTCTAATAACTACACATACGAGGCGCGTCTTGGGCGTCGCACTGCGCATCTGATGGATATGCGCAAGGGTATGTGGGCCATTTTACATCGCGGATGAAGTGAAGACCATCAGGGCATGTCTTGTATGTTGCCTTGTATGCCTGGAATATATTAAATTACGATAATTTGTCTTAATTAATTAAATTCCCGGGGATCATTATCATCAATTTATTCCTTATTATAATAGGTTATAATGCTTTTTCATACAACCTACAGCTTTATTAGTTATTAATAAACTTAAAATTTGACATGTAAGTCAATTACTTACGTTACATTCGACATAGGAATCACAACTGCCCTGTATTTTATAGTAAGTGTTGTATTCCCGACAAACTGTATCGTCTACAGCTCCATTTTGTTGCACTTGTTCAGCACCTTTAATTTCAGTACAATTTATTAGTTATAAAATTATAAATTACAATATATAAAAAAATTATTAGCTTATGTTTACTTACATGAAGCTACAAACAGCCCAGCAATACAAATAAAGAAAAACATTTTTTAATTGTAATTATTCAGAGGGAAGTATGCAAATGCTGACTTTCACGTGGTTCAGTCGACATTTATACGAATACTTTAATTTTAAAACTAATTTGTTTGTGGTTTCAAAACAGTAAAGTTTCATTAAATAATCAAGAATATATGTTTAAGACTAGTCTTTTACCAACATCATTAGTGTTCCGTGCCAAAATTAATTAAACGGAACGCTTATGGATACAGATAAATGCCGAGGTACTCCTCGGCGTCTGTCTGTGTCTGTCACAAAGGTTTTTCTCTAAAATTATCTCACATAATGATTAAAATAGACATAATTACACAAATTACAACATGCTTTACAGTTATTCAAACATGAACTTAAATTTCAAAATTCGAATTCTCAATTTGGGGAGTCAATTGGGAAATTAAAAAATATACACATGGTCAAATTTTAGAGGAATGCAAAAAAGTATGTATAAAACAAAATATCATGGATAATTGTAACAATCAAGTTTATTTATTAGTATTTTGCTTATTATTTGTTAACTTAAAATATCAAACGTCGAAAAAACGAACAATAAAATGGCAAAAATTGAACAAATAAAAAAAGAAAATTTTTACAAAAAAGAAACATTTTTGTACCTAACATTTTATTCATTTTTTTCATATATGTTTAGGATAAGCTATAACCAAAACGTGTGTTTACAGTCTCCTTGACATATCCCTAATCAAGTTATCAATAAAATTTTGAAAGATTGCATTCCACTCTTCTTGAATTTCGTTTTTAAGGTCTCTCAAATATGCGGGGGCGAGATTTATTTTCCTTAACTTGTCTCTTAAGCTTATCCCGTACATGTTCTATAATTTTAAGCCATATGGGGCCGTCAAATTATCATACATAAAAATAAATCTATGTCCTATAAAAGAGGGGCAAATGGCACTACACGGTTGTTTTGCAGCTAGCTCTTTTTTCATGGTTTGCAGTTGCTGACAAATGATATCTGCCGTAATCGTTTGGTCAGATTTTAGAAAGCTGTAGTAAACGACACCGACGCTAGTCCACCAAACACTCACAAGTAACTTTTTCTAAGTCAATTTTCGTTTAGGGCGGGATTTGGCTGGGTCTCTAGGGTTTAGCCATTGCGATCGAGCACTTTCGATTATCGTACAGTATCCACTTTTCATCACAAGTAATGATTCGACTTAAAATCACTTCATTTTTGTGTCGGTTGAGCAAAGTAACACATCAGTCGACGCGTGTTTGCAAGTTCGATTCACTCAATTCATGAGGTAACCATCGTTCAAGTTTTTTTACTGTCCCGATTTGCTTCAAGTGGATTAATAAAGTGTATCACTTACCCCGAAGCTTGCAGCTATCTTTGAAATTCTTTGTGATGTATCCGCTTCTAAAATATAATATAATTCTTCATTTTCAACTTTGGTCTCCGGCCGTCCACGGGGTTGGTTCTGAAGGTCGAAATTTCCAGAACGAAAACCTTGGAACTAAAAACGTATTGCTTTATTTTGCGACACCAGCGCCGTACACATCATTAATCCTTCGAGCTATTTCTGTAGCACTGGTGCCACGGTAGAACTCGTACTCGTAAATATACCGATATTTCATGTTTTCCATTGTGCGGTAATAAGCGACGCCAAAGAAAAAAAATATGAGGAAAAAACAAACGAATGACTGTTTTCAAAACTCAAATGTACCAGCTAAATGAATTTATAAATTTGAATTTGGAATTCTTAACTAAGGAGGAGATAGCTAAGAAGTTTTCGCTTCTGACGTACCTACAGTCCTACAACTGGCAGGTTTTTTTTAAGAGCAATTTCACATTTTAGTTATTTAGACTAAGCACACCACAAAATAAGAAACCCAAGGGTGGTGCGAACAATTTTACCACATTTCTTTCTCACCTTTTTTTGTTATTATTTATGTTTTTTTTTGACATGCAATAAAGTGTTATCTATCTATCTATCTACTTAAGTTAATTAGCGAACCGCCCCCGGGCTATTCACCTTGTCAGGCGGGAGATTTTCCCTGTTCCTTCAATGATAAAAATTAAATATATTATTGTTTTATACCAAATTAAAAAAAATCCTATTTAGGAAACGTCTTTGTTTTCTCTTTATTCGGCTTACCAAAATTTGCTTACACTAATAATTATGTTTTCAAAACTGAATTTCGGTCACAGCAAACAGTCTCAACCGAAGGTATTATAATATACTGCGTATAAAACCAACGGGGACTTACGAGTTGGTAAGATATGATGCATGAGTGTGTGCGCAAACACAGTTACACTTTCTATTCCCTAACATTATTGATCTGCAAGACCGACGACTTTATTTGTCTCGGAGGCATTGACTTCGTAAAATGAATATCTTAGATTAAAACACCAGTGTTAATTTTCTATCTTTCTTCCATTGTAGAGAGGTTTCGCCACGATCCGTAATAATTTTTTATAGGATAAGGGTGACAAGCGAGCACACAGTCCTCGTTTGCGAATCAAAATGCAGATTCGTTGTCAGCCGTGAGGACGAAGATAGAATGCCTCTTTTCCAGTAAAAAGGATCTCCGGTTCTCTATACTCACTATACGAAACACGGCAGCATTCAGTTACTATTTTACGATGGTATTCTGTGAGAGCGTGATCCTTCACCGGTCGAGACGACGTATTCGTGCAACAACTATACTATTAATATAGCTGGAGCATGGCTCTACCACGTATAATATCCGTAAATGAGAAAACAGAAAATAATTACAGAAAACATTCTGTAATTTCCCATACCCTTTCACTATACCTATGAAGCGAAATGGGGTGATAAGCCCAGGTCTCCTTCTTCACTTTATATGATTTTTGTAGCAGGGCTGCACCAGGGTGTTGACTGTTGACGACCTTTACGGGTCCTCAAAATATTTCTAATTTCTAAGTCATGCAAGTTTCCCCATATTATTAATTCATTTACTCTTTATTGCATCCGCATCAAGGAATACAAAAGGCAGATATGTTACGCTGAACGTCGATAGGCATTCTGTACCAGTCAAATGATGAAAAAATGTTTTCCTCCACCACTCTAATCAGCAGTGTTAAAACAGCACTTTATTTGCAATTAACACTTTCATAGGTGCCGGCGGAGCTCTAGTTAGACGGTTTAGTAATATTTAATATTAGCGATAAGCCCCAGCTTCGCACGGGTGATTTTTAGATCTGGAACTCGACAACAGCTGGTATCTAAATCGGTTGGATGGTTTCATAGGTAGAAACATTTTTTGTGTTTTATATAGATAAATGGGTTGACTGGTAGAGAATGCCTTTAGGCGTTAAGTCCGCCCTTTGTATCCTTTTTTTTTTTCTAAGGGAACGCAATAAAGATTTCGATCCTCGAGGATTCTCGTAGCTACTGTCGGGGAAGTCTGTGGAATTCGCGAGAAGTGGCGCGAATGGCGCGTAACCTAGACTAACTTTACTGCAACCTCAAGGCGAAATCGCGGGAATGCTCGCACATTTACGCGCCATTCCGCGCGTCGCGGCGTAATCGACCATTCCATTCCGCAGCAATGTAAGTTCAGCCCTAGGAGTCTGGGTAAATAATCCACTAATTAGTCAAGTAGCGATATTAAATATGATAAATTAAAAACGTTTAATTTTAATAACAATTACTTTATTATTATATTCTTATAGTTTGATGAGTTTGCATTATTATTTTATTTTTTAACATTAGACTATAACAACCGCTTGATTAGGTTGTGATGTTTTATCGAATTTTATTTTTTATTATCTTATCTCAGTACCTTCGTTTGCCTCGTGCGGGTTCACGAGTGGTTGGAGTCACATATTCGTCGTAATATTCAGGCGTTACAGTTACTGTAGTGTATTGTACTTTCCGTGAATTTGTTGCTGTGTTCTTAGTTTTCTGATAAGGTGGTGGCGTTCCGGTGCTGATAAGTGGTTGGCTTCGTAGCAGTTTTTCGTTAACTAATTCCGCATCAGTCAGACGCTGCGTTTCTGCTTCTCTAGAGCGAGCGGCAGCTCTTTTCAGCTCTGCAGGACAAGCATCGACTTCGTCAGCAGACACGCAGGATGAAGTTAGTTCGTCGAATGCGGAATGACCGCCGCAACCTAAGCCGCGAGGTTTTCCGTCGATGCAAATGAAATACTTCTGGCAGTTAGTCGCCGATCTGAAATTAAAATATTTTTATATTTAGCAGCGTTTTATAGATACAACACAAATTGGTCGGCTCGATCGGGGAAGTACCACGCTCGCACAGAATACCAACGTAAAATAACAGAATAAGGTTTTCCGATTTTTTTAAACGAGAATAGGCAAATGTATGAGATGGACTGTGTGCTCGATAATTTGTATAAAAAGACTATTCTTGTTGTCAAACAGAAGTAAGGACTGAGTAAGCCCAACTTTAAGGGCAATAAGGAGGATATTTTTAAGTCTCCGCGGCAGGGCTAGCGCTGCAAACAATTTTCTACTTATTTTATTAACGTGCGGAGTCCATGTCGGACAGAAGGCAATGTAATTATATTCGTAACCTTATCATTAAAATGGTCACAAGTGCAATTGATAAAAATGGGTGGTGGGTAAGACAAGTCAAACATAGAAACTAATGTAAAACTAGCAATATTTATTGATTGAGGTTTTTTGTTGATCTATAATCATTTGTACGGTGTACTCGTTTACAGTTTTAGAAGTGCTGAGTAGCCGATTCGGTATCTTTGACGTTGTATTCATCTTAACACGTAGGTATAACTTCGGGTAAAAGTAAGGGAGATAAGAAGCTCACTTGTTAGTCATATTCATGTGTATATGTTTTCTTAATTTTTAGTTCTTAAACACTAAAGATAAAAAGTATATTTTCAATAATTCTTTTATCCTTGCTTCATATAAGAAACGTGTCATTTTACTCTGTTCCTCTTGGCCATTGCTTACTTCTCACATAATTTAAAGAACAATTAAAGATAGTTACAGAATTAAACAATTTTGAGACTTTTTCCATATTTATTCAATATACACGTTTCCGTTCCATATCCACACGTTTTATAAGGTCTGGGAGTTACATCTTTAAATGCAATTTATGCCAAAATAAAGGGAATTTGCGTATTTACATTACAGTGTAGTGGCGTGTAAGAATATCCACTCTCTTATCATTCTGTGTGTGCCTTAAGCCTGGCAACTATGGCAAATATCCCCCCCCCCCATGAAGCAATCTGTGCGTGAGGCCTTCGTTCAGCAGCAGACTATAATAAGATGAAACGGAATATTCTAGTATATAAACATTTACGAGTGGTGACAGGATCCTTTTGCTACCTAAGCGTACGTAGTACTACTATTATTGGCTGTGTTTGGCAGAAAAAAGCGCTAGGAAGCGCTTGTAGCAAAATGGTCGAATCTATACAGTTTTCTAACTTTGCTAACTTCAGTAGCGCTGACACAATCCGCCATTCTGTTTGTTTTGAAGTAGAATTTATAAGTTGTTTTGTGCAATTAGTTTCAAGTAATATAATGAAATGAATAAACATATTATACATGTTATTAAAAATTCGTGATTGGTAAGTTTTTAATATGAATACTTTACAAACATATATTTAAATTAGGTTAGGTTCTCCGGTTAAAGCTAACTTAGTGTCCTAGAGGAAAATAGCTATTTACCATTTGACAGCGCTTACCGCTTACGATCGCCATTTTGATTACAAGCGCTTCCTAGCGCTTTTTTCTGTCATACACAGCCATTGGGTGCGTTTGGCAGAAAAAAGCGCTAGCAAGCGCTTATAAGCGCTGAAATAGTTTTCGGCCAGAACATGATTGCTACATCAGTAGCGCTGACACAATCCGCCATTCTGTTTGTTTTGAAGTAGAGTTTATAAGTTGTTTTGCGCAATATTAGTTTTAAGTAATATAAAAACAAGAATAAACATATACATGTTATTAAAAATTCATGATTGGTAAGTTTTTAATATGAATACTTTACAAAAATATAAAACTAACATCGTGTCCTGGAGGAAAATAGCTACTTACGATTTGACAGCGCTTACGATCGACATTTTGCTTACAAGCGCTTGCTAGCGCTTTTTTCTGCCAAACGCACCCATTAATTTAGTGCTAGGAGTCCGTATTGACAGATAGGACTGTGCGGCATTTCATCTTAGTCCTCAGATATGACAAACTTGTCCCTTCAGATTGATAAAAAAGTATTTTAATATACAAAACAGCGATGTTCTATACTCCCTAAAGAAGTCAAAATATTCGTAAATCATCAAAATATTAGTTTGCATACATAGTTCTTATGCAAACGCTTATTGCCTGGTATTTTAACAACGTGGTTACATAACTGCAAGGCCGCTATTCATCCGTTGGTTGACATTTAGCGACGACCTGACATCCGATGACCGGTCGTGTATTGGGTAACCAGTTTTCTTTATTCAATAACGTTTTAATCACTACAACACTTGTCACGAAAGTATTTACTCATTATTCTAATGGGTAATATGAATATAGCAGTATTTGTTAATATTTTATTAATTTGACAAGCCATTATTTATATGGTCTAGTAATAAGTTTATGTTTTTCAATTTTTGATAAAATTGCGGTTGTTATCACCCGTAGTATGAAGTCATAATTTAAATTAAATACTTTATAATTATGTTAACATTTTAATTTAAATATTGGCTCTTGAAATTTAGCCGTCACAAAAACATTTGAAAATATGTAACTACCTAATGGTCAATTCGGAAAACCCTTGATAGCTTAATTTGCAAAATTTTAAAATTTAATGAACCATTTTATCATATTCTAGTAATAACTGCATTTTGTTTTACCTGTAGAATCTATATCCAGCAGGAGGACCCAGCTCTTTCGTGGTTGGTACTTCAGGACATTTGAAGCCGAGGAAAGCTGGAAATGTACAAAATTTATATGAAAAGATTCAACGTCTTTCATTAATATTATTAAAATTTGGTATTAATTTTATTGTATATTTGTTCATACATCGCAGGAGATATTTTTTACTATTAATAAAGGTAAAAATTAAGAAAGTTTAAAGTTTTAAAACAATATGTAATAAACCTTTAATGATGTAGCCACGTTGATTAAAATTAAACCTTCGTGGTCCAAAATGAGCTATTAAAACTTTTTTACACCAACCTTTATGACCTGCGATTGTTTGACTTTCAAATGTATCCAAAAATGACCCAAAAGTAATTATTGAATACGAGTTCCGACGTGATAGCAGAGACAGCTCGCATTATCAATGCCGAATTTAGAGAGGATATTGGACGATACACGGTCAGTTCAACTGATCATTCTAAGCAAGCTATCGACAAAACTCCCAAAAACTTCGGAATGTGACGCATCAGCATATTATTTAAAGTGAACTAAAGACACGAAGTCCTAGTAGATCCTTCCGCCATTAAATAAAAAACGAGCCTTAAAGTTCATAGTGTGAATCCGGTGTGAGTTTTACGAATAGTATTCGAACTTAATTAATACTTTTCATTTTATATAATGACGATATCGTAAGAGTTTACGGAGAATGGTGACAACTGTATTAATAAATTATTTAAATTCTATTATTCGGAATTTAAAATTTCAAGGTCCTTACCTTCGGCGTCACAGTCTGCTACTTGATCGGGCCATTCGCATCTGTACACGTCTGAACTAAAAGCGAGACCCTCGGGACAAGAAAAGTCGTATCCTACTCCATTCACACAGTTCCTGAAGAAGCTGCAGTTCTTCTCATCACCAAGCTTGAAGTAACCAAACTGATGGGGACAGTCTGCTGTTGGTTGTGGAGGTTCTGAAAATTTATAATATCATTAAAGTTTTGTAGACATTATCTATTGTAGATATTATTTACATTATAAAAGCCGTTCTCCGGCATTGAGGTATTAGTACTACGTATAGTAGTAATATAGTTCGATGTTCTCAAGGTGGAGAGTACCTACGGGAAATTTGCTCTGATAATGTCTATGTTCAAAAGTAAATTTTAAGTACTATCAAAGTTTGAATTATCTTTACTAGATTCTAGCATTAAAGTTAATTTGTCTTCGCTGTTTCATATTCTCCTTGCTCGATAAGCGTCCAACCCATCGGAAAATATTTTGGGAATTTCAGCCATGTTGCATAAACTGCACCACGGTTGTATTCTAGAGATTAACTAGCTTCCCGATTTTCAGCATAATATCTAAATTAAGTTCGTCATATAATAAGCGATAAGCGGTTTTCAAAGTGGATAATATAATAGTTTATTTTAAGGTCGCTGCATACAGGACTGAATCAGCACATGCACGGGACGGAGACGGAACGTCGTTGTACGTCACAACACGGACGGGAGTGAAATGCATAGGCACCGTGACAGTGACTCGAAACTAACGTGTGTGGTGTGAAAGATGGGTTTTTCATTTCAAGAATTGGTATTAATTTCTACATCCTACGTGATAAGAGAACAAGAAGGTGAACGGGACGTGGCACGCGCCGGGCGGGACATCGTCGCCGACGAAATTTTTCCCGTCCCGTTCATGCCACGTCCGCATCCCGTCCGTGCATCCGTAACGTATAAATTATCACGTACATGTTCTACGAAACAATATTTCCAAAACTTCACGTCCCGCACCGTCCGTTCTGTCCGACCTTTAAACTTCTCAACCCGCTTGCCACGTGTGGTAACTGTGGCAATATCCCCCTATAAGGTAATCTATGGGGAAGGCCTATGTTAAGCAGTAGACTTTAATAGAATGTAATGGTAACGGTAACTTCTATGGTATTATATATATATATATATATATATATATATATATATATATATATATATATATATATTATATATATATATATATATATATATATAGGTATATATAATGTAATGGTAACTTGCCACTTGGTATGATGGGTAATCCATAATAAGCGTTATGTAGTGCCACTAGCTGAACGCCGTGGTTTCATCCCCGTATGTCTTTTTTTTTTAATTTTATTTATTAAGGAACAGCAAACAGCTACAAAATACAGTAATATCTAAAATAAAATAACATGATGTATTCACAATAATGTAGCCCACAACGCTATCCACGGTATGTGTGTATGTTAAGGTGGGTTTACGCTAAACGAGCTGAGCACGAGCGGAGCATGAGCCAAGAACAAATTCGTGTAATGTGACTGCCTTACAACCCTCGAATGAACGCGCTTCGAGCGTTTGGTTCGTGTTCGACTGTGCTCCGCCTGTTGTCGGTTTTTTGACGAACATAAAGAGATTAGTTTTTAGTTTTAGTTTACGTTTCTGAGCCGCGAGATTGACATCTCGCATGTATAGGGTTATTTTGCAAGAACCGATCAAAGGGAATTGCTTTAAGTTTGTTAGGGTGATCTGGCTAAGCGCGAACAAAATAATAAAGTTATAGCAAGATGCAAGAATATGCATATGGGTAAAATCTTTGTAATAAGCACATTCTTTTCTAAAATATATTGTTTGCCAATAGTATTTTATACAATCAGTTTATTTACATATTATAAAGGTAGAAAGGACCATTTATTTTATAATTTACACACAATTTAAGAAAAATAAATACAAAAGAAAGCGCAAAAATGTTAAAATATGTTTTTTTTATTAACTAGCTTTACGGCTCTGGCACGGCAAGGAATCTTAGAACAAAAAAATTAGCCCTTATTTTCAACCATAGACTCAAACCCGTAGTTTAGAATATGACATTTCTTATTACCACAGATTGAGTTTCAAACTTCCATAACTTTTATTCACAGAGTACAGAGACTATTAAGAGGAGATAAGAACAGGATACTCCTTTCATTGTTTTCAGTTTATACAAAGGTACTCTGTATTCAATATTTCAATTTCAATACAGTTTGGTGGAGTTTTGGAAATTTGGATTTGATCGAATGAAATTACTTTGAAGTGTTAAAGTCCATGCTTATCCTCTCACGTTAAAAATTGTGTACTCATCATGAAGAATGCTTGTTGCGTTTCGCATTGCGAAAGCAAGCGTCATAATGTTAAATTAGATTGTTTTCCAAAGACTGAGCTAAGACTCAAGTGTACGGAAAAAATAAATTGTGAAAAATTAAAGCAGCTCAATGCAGAAGAGCAACATAAATTTTTTGTGTGTCATAAGCACTTCGGGGCGAGAAGATTTGTTACCGGTAGTTTGCTTCTTCACCATTTTGCCTTACCACCTTATCTACGGCTGACAAAATAAATACTGGAATACCTGCTCTGAAAATGGACAACTATGGTAATCTACTTATTTTTCTATTAGGGACATTTGCTTGATCTTGTATTTTTAGTATAATTCTGCATAACTCTCCGTCACAATTGTAAGGCTCTTGCAGAATAATCTGTCAATATCACTGCAATAATTCTTTCCTAATTTTTGTTATCTAACTAAATTCCATTATGTATTGATGTTTTTTATAGGATTTGGCTGTGCCTCTCAAGTGAGAGGTGAACAGATTGCCTATGATATAATAAAATCAATCTTAAAATTGCAATCTCAAAATTATTATTCAAAGGTTGCCATTTGCCAAGTTATTACATATAACTGTCAGTCTGTTGAAGAGTATCTGGTATTGAACAATTCAGCCACAAATAACCTGTAATTTGTGAACAGATAATTGTCCACTAAAAAGAAACTACATAAGACCTATTCTTAGATTACATATTCCATCGAACAAGTTTTCTTTTTTGATGAAAAAAGTGCCAACATCATATCATTTCCAACATATTTTGATGGAATGTGTCTTGAATGAAGCAATTAGAATGTTTTGGTAGTGATAGGAATTTTCACTTTGGCACCTTGAACAGTATTTTGGCTTATCTAATGTCGAAGGAAGCTAAAATGCTGGTCAAGTTAGCAGACTTGTTTCTGTGTAGGGAATAGATGTGAATATTTATAGTTCCACTTATTCCTCAGGTGTGATTATTTATAGTTGTGTTTATTGCACATAACCATTGTTACTTTAATACATTTTGTATTACGTACACTACTACTAGTGGAAAAATATTCACTGATCTATAAAGTCCTAAATCCAGCTGAGGATGTAAATGTAGAAAGCTGATATTTATTTTACTTTTTTATACTTTTTATTGCATACAATATTATATTACATAAACACTGACAACAAACTATATACTAAATGTACAATTAGCGGGCCTTAATACTAAACAGAGATCTATTCCAGGAAAAACTATAGAGGAGATTATTTTTATATAAGGGTGCATGCATACATATAAGCTGTATTATGTAGTATGACTTGACTACGCTACATGCATTGACTTGATTATGTAGGATTGACTGCTTTTTTGGTCTAGTGGTTCTAGTAGTGCGACTGCTGATCATGAGGTCCAAACTGCACACGTTGTGCAATATTATTATATATTAGTAATGTGCAAATTTAATTAAAATAGGTTAAGTAGTTTAGGAGTTTATCGCGGACAAACAACGTGACACGTAATTTATATATATTAAGATATATTATAAAGAATATAACATTTCTTGAATTAACCAACTTTGTCAGCCTCAAGCACAGGCGCAGAGTAGCCAGCCTCTCAGTATTCTATAGGATGCATTTCGCAGTGTGCGCAGGAATTGCACGCTTTAATTCCTCCCTCTCCTTTTCACCATCGGACGACCAGGCGGTCGGCGGGTCTTTACCCCTTTGTTGTTGATATTCCACGCATTAGAACCAAACGGTTTACTTCGAATTTTTTAATGCGTACAGCAAAGGAGCGGAATAATTTGTCAGCGTCTATCTTTCCGTCCGAATACAATCTGGGCGTCTTCAAGGCGAGAGTGAATAGGGTTTTGTTACGCTAAGACAGAGCGATTTACTATCTAAGGCTGCATCACCACTCACCACCAGGTGGGATTGTGGTCAAGCACTGGGTTATAAAAAGTAAAAAATATAGGAATAAAAGAGAAACAAATAACATTAATTTAGGGTTTCTATGGCTAACATTATATTTATTTTTATGTTACAGCTCACTAAGCTGATAGAAAATCTGTAAACTCGACGTCAAAAAATACTTCAGAAGCTTTGTCATTTTTCTAGGACTTATTTGATTCATGTAAGGAAACAGCTCTTAGACGGAGAAACAAAGTGAAGCCCTTAAAGCAAGCTGTAACGAATTCATCAGAGCACGAAACCCCTTGGACTAATTCCATAAAAAAAATTAGAGGTAATGAGATTTGTTAATAAAGAGGACAAGGAGTGTATTGTGTCCTCTAAAAAAGTCAGTCGTCAGTCCACCAACGGATTTCTCACAGAAAGTATAGATACTTAAAATAAAAACAAAAATCAACCTATCCCTCAGAATATGCTCTGAGGTATATTTCAACCGTTGTAAAAGAAACAAACTAATATTTGGAAGTGAAACCAAATTCTTATGAAATAAAAAAAAAGCATATGGAAATTAAATACAAATATTCGTTTGATTCTTAACATACCGAGTCATAAACAAGCTCTTCTAGAATATTTTGTCTCAATAACGATAAAATAATGTATATGGAACTGGTGTAACGTAGTTATTAAAATCTTAAAAGAATTTGATATTATGAGATTAAAATAACGTAACCAATTGCCGCAAATGCTAGATAAAGTTTATAAATAATTTCAAAAGAAAAAAAATAAAAACTTTAATAACTAATATATGTTGTTTTATTTTTGTATTATAAGTTCTAAAGATTTTAAAATTGTCATCTTTTAATGCTGAATAGCTGTTAGGTATGTGAATGAAATTAGGCTTTATCAATAGTGCCTTATAACTACAAAATTTAAAAGTAACGTAAACAGGCTTTATCAATGATGTACTTTTGCCTGATACCTCAAAATTAGAAGTAAACAAATGTCAAACTCTAAACTACTGGTTCCGTATTGGTTGTTCTAATATTCTTGTCTGATGCGTAGTATCCTCTTAGTAGTCTGTGGGCTCTGGGTTCCAGCCCTTCTGAGCCTATCATTTCTTTCGGAATCTTCATTTTTCTTCTCGTAAATAAGCGTATTTAATTATAGCTATCCAGTGTTTCAATACAATTTTAGAGTATTATTTCGCAAAACTTTATGCGTGGCTTGTCGTACAATACGACATTCGGTATAGCAACAAAAATACTAAGCGCGATCGATAGTATTTTTTTATTAAACCAGTTATATTAAATCAAAGAGGAATATGTTATTCTTAAAACTGATGTGATACTTCAAATACGATTTAGGGTTACGACGCGGTGTTTAATTGAATAGATGTTCGATTATATAATTTTATTATTTCAATTTGATTATTGACCTATACTGGACATTGGTCTCTTTAATTACATCATTTAATAGATATGCCAAATTAAACCACGTATGGCACGCGGAATGTACCAGATATCTTGTACTTCTAAAGCTACTTCACGTTGCCGTCCTCGTTATTATATTTGATTTAAAACAAAACGGTTTATATTGGCTACCTTTCGCAGGCGAGAACTTTCTGGCCTCTCCCATAATCGCCTGTTACCAGGCCCACGGTACGAAATAGGGTGACGGATTACGTTTTTTGCGGTCTTACGTTTTGAATATGTATGTACGTAATGATTGTAAAACCAGACAAACAATAATATATTGTTTGAGTTAAAGATAGAATCATTAATATTAACATAGGATAGAAACGGAATGTAAAGACATGCATACAATACATAATTTTAAGTCTGTAAAAGGAATCATCAACATTACAGCCTATAATGGTCCACTCCTGAACATAGGCCTCCCCCATAGATTGCCTTATAGGGGGGATTATTCCATAGTTGACACGCTTGGCGAGCGGCTTGTCAACCACAGTTTCTATTTTGGGTTGTTATCAGCAAGACGCTTCTGCCCATCACCTGTTTCAATTTCCCTCTGTCGCCTCTTACGACACGATATGGGGTAGTGGATATTCTTAAAAAGTAATATTCGTAAAAGGAATAGCACGACGTAATAATTACAGTGTCTTCTTTGTCGGTGCCTTCTTTGTCGGTGCGTAAAGGTCGTTAGTGCGACTACTAACCAAACGGTTAAAAACTACACAAGTGGTAAAATTAAAAAATTTATACAACCGACTTCAATACAAATAAATGTAGTCGAAGTCTACATTATTAAATACGCATTATTAAGGATAATTCAAAAACTACTGCTGGTCAGATCTTGATCAAAATTATGTATATGGGACCACACGAGAAGCACCAGCTTTCAAATAATCAGTTCACCTAGAAAAAAGTTTTACACAGAAAAAAAAACACAATCGAATTAAGAAAATCCTCCTTTTTTATTCGGTTGAAAAAAAAAGGTCGTAGAACGTCTTTTCAAGATAAATAAATAAATAAAAAATAGAACGAAATCGACTAACACGACGACAGCATTTGAATCGAAACTTTAATTTTTACCATAAATAAAAATGTATTTTCGTTTTATTTCATTTTTGTTAATAGGATAGCTATAATAGTGTAATGTGTGTGTAATGAAACGGCTATGATATTATCTATTAATTAACTTGAAATAATAACAAGCTGCGGCTGCCAACCTGCCTGGCAAGCGTGGCAACTATGGCAAATTCCGCCCTATGAGGCAATCTAAGGGTTCACCCCCTTAGATTGCAAAGTTCAGAAGAGGCCTTCTGTTAGCTTGTAATGAATAAATTATTTAGATTTTATGAACACGCTGTATATAACTAAATTTGTTTCATAAAACGACGACAAAGCGTTATTTTAATTTTGTATATTTTCCATCCTGGTTCATAAAACTGATTTGAATTAGAGCGTTGTTTTATACATTTTTCAAATTGGTTAATAATATATAATAATTGCTACTTGCATAATATACTTCTACATTTATTTTATATACTTTTATGAATACTTACGCAGCGATGAACGTTCGAGGCATGGCACTTCGCTCGGGTACTGGCAGGGGTATACATTGAACTTGACATTTGGGTTGTAGCGCAGTCCGTCAGGGCAGACCTTTTCTTCCGCTGTTCCGTTCTGTTTATAGCATAAAAAGTTTTAGATTTAGCAAAAAGTAAACATCACCAGTTGTATTTAATCTTAAAATTGTTATAGTCAGCCCCAGCCATTTAATAATAATTTTCTGGACATGAATCTCGCCCCGATAGTGTTATACGGTGGTTAAACGCTTGAGAAGAGAATAGAGTTACAGCCTATATACGTCACATGGCTGGGTACAGACCTCCTCTCAATTCTGAGAAGGTTTAAGGTCAAGGAAATGCCTACCGCGCTGGCCCAATGCGTGTTGGCGAACTTTAAATTGATTTTTTGTTTATTTCTCAGACATGCAAAAAAAAAACCCTCACGATGTTTTATTCCATCGCCGAGTAAGTGGCAATTCAGCACTTAAAATAGCAATTAATAATTTCATTGGTGCCGGCGGGGATTGAACCCGGGTTGTTCGCTTACTGTGAAATTTACATCGAGTGCTTAACCTATGAGATCGTAATATTCCTCTCACTAAGGCTGTAACTGAAGTCGGTTAATTTTTAAGTCGACAATTACCTCCGACTAAGCGTAATTTGTCATTATTATTTCCCTGACTCCAACCGCTTCATTTAGAGTTGGATCTTAAAAGGAAACAATATTTGTAAACCACCGTGAGGTTGCGGTGTAAGTGAATCTAATATAAAATGTAGGTAAAACCTCTGATCAACAGCGGCATTATGATCATCGAGTATTTTGACCAGATGTAAAATGTTCAGACCGACGACGGAAAGCAGTGTCAAAGTCTACATCTAGAAATGTATTCAAAACGATCCTACTAATTATGTCGATTATCGCAAATCACATTATGTTATATGTTAAAGTTAAAGTTACAGCCTATATACGTCACACTGCTGGGCAAAGGCCTCCCCTCATTTCTGAGAGGGTTTAGGGCAAGGAAGTGTCCGCCGCGCTGCCTCAATGCGTGTTGGCGAACTTCACATGTCTTTGAAATATTTTTTCATATTCCTCAAACATGCAGGTTTTCTCACGATGTTTTCCTTCACCGCCGAGCACGTGGTAAATCCGCAGATAAAATTGCAACTAACAATTTTATTGGTGCCGGCGGGGATCGAACCCGGGTTACTCGCGTTCTGTTATATTTACAGCGAGCGTTAACCATCTGAGCTACCATGGCTCTTTTATATGTAGATATATTTATTTATAGTATTTAATGTGCTCCGTGGCCGACGTTATAATATCTAACATTGCATTCATCTTTTTACAGACATAAACATAACCTCGGTTATAAAGGTTGATTAACAACAATAACTTAGTACAGTAAACTTTAACGGCTTTATAATCGATTATTAATAATCAATTAAGTATTAATTATCTATATACCTGTCTCTTTTTATTGCAATTTAGTAAAGAAAGCAACAGCAACTTTAAACATTTTCTATGTTAACGTCGACTTTTGTGAAAAACTTGTATGTAAAACTTCTTTGAACTATTATTTAATAAATGGTAAAACTAAAAATCTTTAGTACAGAAACCCGTGTGTCACTTATGCAACAAAAGTTCATACAAAAACAGCTTACCAATGGCAGAACACGTTGGTGTTTGGAAACGGCTAGTATACTTTCTTTTGATTCAATAAAAGAAATAATGATAGATAAAACGTTTATATATAAGAAATTCTTTACACATCAACAAAACTAAATACGTCTGCATAGTACGTGATACGCTAGTTATTCGCTATTCCTTGTACTACCTAGTACTATTATATATTCTATGGTTGTACATAAAAAAGTAAGTAAATAGATCGATTTTTGATTAAAATATTAATCTGATTTAGATGTTTACCACCTATCATTGTATTGCTTTAGTGTTATAGAGAAGCTAGTTTAATAATGGGAGTAAAAAACATATTATAAGATCTTTAATTCTTTGAATTCAGCGCTTGCATAACAAAAAATCGCTACACGGATTCATTGTTCTTTTTAATCTGCAGGTAGAATACTAATTTATACCTTCTATATATACGTCTTTTGATAAATATTGTATTGATTCCTCTAGCTATTTTGAACATAAATTCACCATTCGTTTACTGCTGTACAAGTTAGTTATAATATTTTTGAGGACATTCTGCGGTTACTAGAGTTCTAGTCTAAAACCAATTTCATGCACATGACGGTTAGAAAACTTTTTTATATTCCACTGATGATAATGGACGCATTTTCAAGATTACGCTAAGTGTAAGCACACACAAAATCTTTAAACTTAGAATCCTTTGAAAGGCAGTGGAAATAGACTCAGAAATTTCAACTTTGTAAATAACCCTACCAAAAGTTCACTGCTGAACACAGGCCTTATCCATTGATTTCCTCACAGGGAGGAATGTCTGCCATAGTTGACACTCTTGGCAGGCGGGTTGGCACGGCAGCTTTTTATTTTTTATTTATAAAAAGGGGGACGGTGCCCATCTCCCGCTTTGCTACCCTCTGACGCCTCTTTCGACATTCATGGGAAAATATGGAAAAGGGATATTGGACGTTTGGTTTTACAACGCCAATACACGGTGTTCCCGCATAGTGGTGTAATACCTATTACAACAGCTTGAAATGGATACATACCAAACATTCAATATATCTGTCACAACTCCCAGGTACTGGGTACCGATCGTTTTTCTCTATGCATTTCATATTAATTGGCCTTGGAGCGGATTCGTATCGGTCCGAATTGTATGAATCAGTAACACCAGTTATAACTTCGCTATCATCATTATAGGTTCTACCCCCGGGCCTGTTAAATCTACGTTCGTTCAAATCTACGAGGCCCGCTGTCCTGGTATCACCTTCACCAATGTCGTTTACTTCACTAAAACTTGCCGCCCCAAGTCCAGGATCCGCTAAATTATCCAAACTTTCTTCAAAAGCCGATAAGTGTAGTCCTGATTCCGTAAACTGTGCGTTTGCTGTTAATAAGAAAATAAATGCTTTATTAAAATATTATGCTCTACTTAATTTACGGTACCTTACACCAAGCATTTTAATCATGTTTCACACAGGGATGAGAGTGAGATTTGGCATAGTTAAAACTTATATAGAGAAAGGGTGCAGAAAGCAAAAACTTTTATAAAGCTATTTATAGTTACTTTGCTACCATCCGAATTAGCGACCGTGACTTAGCGGTCAGCCGCCGTAGAGTCAACGTCACCTGAAGATGCCTCGTGTAGAGGCGAAACACGTGACGTATTATCGTCGATGGTGTGTCCTTCCTAGAATGGTGGTATTGGGAGTTGTTGAGTAGTGGTGTTGGAAGTAGTGGTGCTGGGATTAGTGGTGACGGGATTAGTGCACGCAATTGAGGGAGGGCGGGAGGTGCCCCTAAAACTGGGGAAGACAGAGTATTATATTTAATCGAGCGGATGGTTGCAAAGTAACTATTAATATCTTTATTATAATGGATTTCCGCAAAGTAACGCCTGATTCTATCAATTATCTTAAAAACTTTTACATCAATATTTGTTACAAATACATTAAATTAAATATAACATACATTGTTTACGTACAGACTACAGATTTATCAACATATTAGTATACAGGGTTAATTTTCAAAGAGTGATCAAATTTAAAACTTAAGTTCAAAGATACAAATAATGGTATATAGTTATTGCAGTTTTTTGCAATACGTGCAAATAAGCCTTTTATTTGAAAGTAACCTAAATTGAAAGTGATTTATGGGCAACAACGTTTTTGCCTAACGATCGACCCTTACGAATGTGTGCGTACGCAGTAAAATCAGTTAAAACAATGCATTACCACGCATTTTGAATTTAAGAGATAAAAAGGACAGAATGTTTGAGATTTTTTTAATGAATTTTCCACAACATTTGCCCATATTACTTATTCTGAACCTTCTCTGCAAATTTGGCCGGTTATTGCAAAATAATCCTGTGTACGGTTAAACAGTCACATAGAGTACAGATTGTCTCTCTTAAAGTAAAACATACATATGTATATTTATTGTAAAATATTTAAAACAAATAATAATTACTGACATATTGATTGTATGAGAAATAATTATGTGTGACATCAAATGTCATGGCAAAAGATTATTTTTATATGATGAATATGTTTATTAAAGTGCCCGGTTGATCGAGCTTTGCTCGGTATTTTTCGCTCGGTTTTTTTAATTCGTGTGTTTTGGAAATTATATTTAGATACAAATTACATACTGATGAAATACGAATAATATTTTTTGATCTTAGCGACATAATAGAAAAAACTGAACTGGTTATTTGAATAAAAAATCATGAGTGCAATTAGTTTAATTTAAATTTTCATGTTTTTAAAAAATTCTAAAAAAAGGGCTCGAAATAATAGATTTTCTCAAAAAAAGAAAGGAACTTGAAAACAAAATTAAAAAAAGTCGGTCGGTCGGTCCGGGCTCGAACCATGGTATTAAGATTTTGTGACCGCCCAATATACCAATTAAGCTATATGAATCATTAATAAATTGTCAAAATTTACCTTCTTATTCTAACGATATTGTAGCAGTTTTTCATTGCCTAAAAACACGGACAAAAAGACATTTTCTAAAAATAAATCCTAGCTAGATCGATTTATTGCCCCCGAAACTCCCTGCACACAAAATTTTATGAAAATCGTTGGAGCCGTTTCCGAGATTCCGATTATATATATTATTATATATATATATATATATATATATATATATATATATATATATACAAGAATTGCTCGTTTATGTTTATTAAATACCTTTGTTTTATTAATACTTGATATGTAATTGAAAGTGAAATATAGCTTCCTTCATATACAAACTTAAAAATTTTATAAACTACGATTGTATTTGATGACCACTAGTTTGATTTTATTAATTAAATTATCAGAACTAACTATATATTCTGAATGATGAAGTTTTGAGTTAAAGAGATGGAAGGAGTATTTTGAAAGCGTGTTTATGAGTGAGGAGTCAACGTGTGTACTAAGTGAAGTAGAAACTCTGAAAGAAGAGGAAAGAGGTAGCGAGATAAGTATAGATGAAATAATGAAAGCAATGAAAAGCATGAAAGCAGGTAAGGCTGCCGGATATGATAGAGTTTCACTCGAAATGCTAAGGGCTGGAGAGGAAGTGGTGGCAGGCCTGCTGCACACCTTGTTTAATTTATGCTGGGAACTGAAGCGGGTACCGGTAGACTGGTGCAAAGCCGTGATAGTCCCAGTATATAAAGGAAGGGTCGCAGCAGGACTGTAAAAACTCACCGTGTTGGGGAAAGAAACTGATGGAAAAATTTGGGATGTGCAAGCGGGATTTAGAAAGGGAATGGGATGTACAGATCAAGTCTTTTCCATGCGCATGATTGCGGAGAAGTTTTTGTCCAAAAACCAAAAGGTTTTTTGTGCGTTCATGGACTTGGAAAGGGCCTATGACAGAGTGGATAGGGATGTGCTATGGCAAACACTGAACTCATTTGGGTTGAGCGCTGGGTTGATACAGGCATTGGAGTATCTTTATAGGGACTCTAGTGCTTGTGTTAGGATCAACGGGGTCTACTCGGACTGGTTTTACATCTATAAAGGTGTCAGACAGGGCTGTGTGGCTTCCCCGTGGCTGTTCAACCTATTTATGGACAGTTGTTTGCAAAATTTGAAAGTTGAAGAATGCGGATTAAGAATGGGTGAGTTAACCGTCAAATGCCTTTTGTACGCCGATGATCAAGTTATTCTTGCGTCGTCGGCGGCCGAGTTGCAAATGATGGTTACATTAATGAACAGATCTTTAAAAGAAAGGGGTATTTAAGTAAACGCAAGTAAGACGAAGGTTATGGTTTTTTAAAGAGAAGAAAGTAATATGATTTGTGAAATAAGAATAGAAGGGGAGTTGATCGAGCAAGTAGATGAGTTTGTATATTTGGGCTGCGTATTTAGCAGGGATGGGAGATATGATAAGGACATAGAACGACGAGTGAATGCGGGAAATAGAGTAAATGGGGCCCTGCACTCTATTGTGAAGAGTCAAAATGTGTCGAAAAAGGCACGTTATGGCAATTCACAATGCTGTGTTGGTCCCTACTTTAACGTATGGTAGTGAAAGTTGGGTGTAGCAGAAGAAGCACGAGAGTAGAATGAACGCAGTAGAAATGCGGTTGTTAAGGAGTATGTTAGGGCTGAATCTGAATGACAGGGTAAGAAATTGTGTAATAAGAGAAGAGTGTGGTTTGCAAGATGATGTGTGACCAGGATTAAGAAAGTAATGCTTCGGTGGTTTGGTCATGTGGAAAGAATGAATGAGGAAAGAGTGACGAAGAAAATTTATGTTGCAGAAGTGAATGGCAGAGTTGGAAAGGGACGTCCTAGGCGAAAATTTATCGACCAAATTGGTGATTTATTGAAAACGGGCCAAATTAGGAGTACCCTTAACCGACGAGCATGTATGCGTAGGTGTATGGACGTGAAGGAGGCGAGAGAGGTGTGTCAGGATCGTACCAAATGGAAGTCTGTAGTCTCTGCCTACCCCTCTGGGTGACAGGCGTGAGTGTTTATTTATGTATGTATGTAACTAACTATGCCTCCCGGCTTCGCACGTGTACGAGTCACAACAGAGTTTTCAAGTATTTGCGACTTGATTGAAAAATGCCAATATTGATCCTCTGTCATTACCTTTAATATTTAACGTTAAAATATTTAAAGTACAGCCTATATACGTCCCACTCAGCTCATTTCTGAGAGGGTTTTAGAGCAAGGAATCATCCGCCGCGCTGCCCCAATGAGTGTTGGCGAGCTTCACATGTCTTCAAAATATTTTTTTTCTTATTTCTCTGACATGCAGGTTTCCTTAGAATATTTTCCTTTACCGTCTAGCACGTGGTAAATCAGCACTTAAAATTGCAATTAACAATTTCATTGGTGCCGGCGGGGATCGAACCCGATTTGCTCGCGTACTGTGAAATTTACAGCGTGCGCTAACCATCTAAGCTATCACTGCTCATAAATTATATTATTATAATAAAAAGTATTAAAGAAGGAGACTTTTCTCAGAAAAATATTATTATATACATATTCGAATAGCTTAAATTTACGAGCACATAATTTCTGTTTATACTATGACGAAATGGAAAGTAATGGGTGCCAATAATGTGTTCACTCTTACAGCACTATTATGTACTCTGTGGCAAATATAACTTAATATATCGGAATTTGTCATCTTTGCCCTTGACGTAATATTTTATCTCTCACGATATAAAATCCTAGGCAATGGGATCAGATGTAAGCTTAGCTAGTAAATGAGACGTTAAGTTAAACATATTAAGCACATTCTTTAATATTTTATTTGAACAAGTAAACATATTTTTTTAAATCAATTAAACTAGGTTTAATTAGACGTAATATTTATAGTTCAGTTATTTTACATTGCCATATGGTTCGCGAAATTTAAGTTTAACATCAAAATGGTTAAATTTGGTAAACGATGTCGTCAGTATTCTCTGTATGAATTATGTAAGAGAAATGTCAATAAAACAAAAGGGAAAGCTGTGATGTGGCCCGAAAGATGTGACGCCACCGGGCCGGGCCCCCGGCCGAGCTCCGTGCGGGGCACGGTCAAACGTCTCAGCATACATTTTGTATGAAGTGATTCATGTTTGATCGTGGCCCGGTCGTGCGCCGCCCGGACCCGGACGGGGCACGGCGTCGAAATGTCGGTGGGTATTGTTTCACGGCTCCGGCTCGGCCCGGCCCCGACACGTTGGGACAACCCATAAACCTCGACTTCTTCAAAATTTGTCCAGATATTTTGGTCTTCCGATCTGGCAAACTAGTGGATATTCTTACACCGCCACTAAAAGGCAGTGCAAGGGGTCAGAAATGGAAGCGCATTCATTTGTCCTTATCTGCCCGACAATACACTCAGTCACGACAAGCAATAATTTGTGTCTTTATGCAAATATTGGCTGTAGCTAGGATTCGATAAATTGCAGTCAGTCGTCAAGTACCACAAAGCCGTGCTGTAGTCATAGTAGCAATATGAATGAACAAGTTACTACATGGTCATATTCAAGGCGTGAATAAACCAGCCTTATTTAAGGTACATTTTCGTACTTTGAAATTTTCATTTTAATCCAAAGGTTGTGGAAGCAAACTCAAGTATTAATTTTAACTGGCTCATGGTCGTAATCGCGATTGCTTATTACGTGGTGGTCGTCCCAAATATTTTATAAGGTTGTTCTGTCAAGAAATTCTCAGTAGTCGGGATTTACGAAGTTAGCGGTGTTTCACCCCCGTGCCTCGGAAATCACGTAAAGTCAGTGGTCCTACGCCTGATCCCACTCTTGTCGTGTCGGATTGTCGTTACATCGGTTTGTGAGAGTGAGATAATAAAAAATGCACTATATATATAACTATATATATATATATATATATATAGTCTTGTCTTGCGTCGATGGTTAGCCTCTGTTTAGTTTAGCCGTGTCTGTATTGGTCTGGAAATTCTTTAATTTAATCCATATTATAAATACCATAAACTAATGGCTACAATGTTTAAAGTAAATGTCTTAAAAAATCTACTAGACAAATATGAGTATTTGTTTAATCGTTGTAGTAGGTGCTAACTTTGACCTAGGAAAGCAAATCTTTAAAACTGTAGAAATGTATTTCGTATCTATAAATACAATTATATAGAGGGGCATACTCTCGTTGGCTACCCAAAGTAAGATGACATTTAATCATGGATATTTTTATATTCGTAACCTCTAATATATTAAAGCCTGTTATCCAAGTTTTTAATTTTATGTGATTAATTTATAGCAGAATAATATTTTTAACATTGTATGGAAATTGATTGGCTCATGTTTGGTCTGGTCGAATGATATTCAAGATTTTTTGAATAAATCTTATAAATAGCTACCACGACTTTGTTTATGCATAAGATAAACTTGTCCTTTAAATTCGAGGTCATTTGCGATGAAACAGTATTTGTTCCTACATATTATATTTAAAATACCAATGGTTTTATTGGTATTTTAAAAATTAACATAAATCGTAAACAATAATGTTATATGCAGTTTTTTTTTTAAATAAAGTGAACACAAAGTCAACCTGATGGTAAGCGGATGCGGTGACCCAAAGGCATTTACTTCTATCTCCGGTTAAGAATCAAAATGCAGATTCGTTGTCCCACCTGAAGACTAAGATGGAATACCACTTCGTTTGAAAAGGGTCTCAGGTTCTTTCGTATGCTGTGGCCCAAATACATCGACATTTTTGTCTTCAATTAAACATCAAAATGCAGAGACATTGTCACCCCTGAGGAAGATGGATCTAATTTGGAATACCTCGCTTCCAGTAGAAAAGATTTCCAGTTCTCTACACTTACTTCTTACTCTACATTTTACTTTGGTATTCTTTAAGAGCGTGGCCATTCCCGGGTCGAGCCGACCCATTCGTGTTACAACCATAATATAACTACCACATAGATATTACACACAAAACTTATAAAGAAAAAGACAAGGTGGAAATTATACGAAATAAGTGAATAAGACAGAGGCGTATTTATAGACATAAAAATAGTTACTTTTGAATTTATGAAAAAGAATTGTAATCGCATTATATGTTCTTTTTTTAAATTTCATGCACTTATATTTTTTTTTCAAACTCGTTCTATTCTATGTGTAGTGTTCGCTTAAATATATGAAATTATTATTTATTCATTTATTATCTTTGAAGCTTAAAATTATTTTATGTTTTTGTATGATAATTAGCTCATATTGTCTACTTCTTAATTTGTACACATAATTTTAATGAAACTGTTATTTATGAGTTTATGACCAATCGCGCGTATTGCTTAGTTTAATTTAAACGTAGCAGGAGATCAGAATTATTAATACTAAACTTCTGATACGCTCTTGTTTAGCCAAAAAATCATATTTTAAAACTGTTCAATATTTAGTGTGTTATATTTTCTTTCAAAACATATATTTATTTAACTTTCAAACTGTCGTCGTTCAAGTTTTAAATGCAATATTCCGTATAGTGACTGACACGGCAGCCATAGGCTTAAATTAAGTTGTCCGATTTTTGTTAATACCATTCACATTTAAAACAAATGTGAACTTTGAAAGACAATTTTTATTAAAACATACCAAAGATTATGGAATTCGAATACTTTTTTAGCCGCAAAAAGTAGTATTAATCTACTAATTAAATTTTTATAAGCATAAGCATAAGTAAGTAAGGTTCGTTACTCACCGACAGCGCAGGCGCAAAATAATACCACAAGAGCTTTCCTCATCTTTCGAGCACTCGTGTCAAACGTTCGCGACGAGCTTCCAACTAGCTATGAATGGCGTCGCACTGGAGTCGAGAAGATTCGACCTTGAGGACAGACCGACTTATTGTGAAACCTGGTCTCATCATTGGCCGCTCGTATTACATCAGCCGTGAACCCCAACCGTTGTCAGATATTCGCGACAGCTGAAGGAAACTTAAAAAACGGAACAAAAATCAGATTGATAAATTATGTTAATTATATACTCATTTACTTATTGGTTCATATACTGGCGAATAAACGTTGGTCTAGTGGGTGTAAATGCGATTGCTTGTCCCGGTTTCGGATTCCGGGTCGTGCCAAAATCAGTCATTGGGTTTTTCTGTCAAGAAATTCTCAATAGCAGCCCGAAGTCAGAAAGATGATGGTGTTTGACCCCCGTGCCTTGAAAAACACGTAATGCCGTTGGTCCTGCGCTTGATCTGTCTTCTTTTATGTCGCAAACCACTATGAAAATTAAGGAATAGAGAGTGTGCATGCGCACTTGAACACTATAATCTTGTCCTGCGCAGATAACCAGTATCCGTTGTGACTGGCTGCCGTGACCGAAATTCGGTCTAGAGGGCATTGGTACATACAGGTCCTAACTAGGATGGCATTGAGTGTTGTTTCCTCGTGAAACTTGAGTCGCGACTTTATAACGGAAACGTAATACTACACGATGATAGTCAATATCAAGTACAGATGTCGATATATCCGTTTGCATGGCAAGGGCTTAAATATAAAATATAAAAAGCAAAACCTTTTAGATAATTTTTCGGTAGGTGGAACGTACACTTATCGAAAATTATTTCTTTCTTTCACTGCAACTTGGTTATACTTAACAAAGAGACATCGACATTTTTGTACTTGTCTTTCATAACAAATTATGATATACTAATAAAAGCGTATCGTTTATTTTCATTCATGTAGTGGCGGAAGAGCCGTGGTAACTCAGATGGTTAACGCTCGCTGTAAATACAACAGAACGCGAGTAACCCGGGTTCGATCCCCGCTGGCACCAATGAAATTGTTAGTTGCAATTTTAATTGCTGATTTACCATGTGCTCGGCGGTGAAGGAAAACGCCCTGAGGAAACCTGCATGTCTGAGGAATAAGGAAAAAAATATTTCAAAGACATGTGAAGTTCGCCAACACGCATTGGGGCAGCGCTGCGAACACTTCCTTGCCCCAAAACCCTCTCATAAATGAGGGGAGGCCTGTGCCCAGCAGTGGGACGTATATAGGCTGTAATTTTTATGTAGTGGCGGTGTAAAAATATCCACTACACCATATCATCCCGTGGGTGTGGCTGCCGTAAGAGGCGATAAATGGAAACAAACCAAATGGGCTGCAGAGTTTTCCAAATAACAATTAAAAAATAAACCTGAGGTTGCCTTCCACTTGCCGAGGGTGGCTACCATGGCAAATATGAAGAAATCTATAGGGAGGCCTACTAGCAGCAGTGGACTTTTGAAAGTCTGTAACGGTAACTGTTCGCAGAAAACAGGAAAAAGTATTATCTGGGAATATATCATGCTTCCATTCCTATGCCCGGTAACCGCATTGGATAATTTGCAGTGGCGGAGCGATGCCGATGACGCTATCAGTTCTCATGTGACTTACCAACCGTGTAGGTTTTTTTTATAGGATGGCATGACAAACGAGCACACGGTTCACCTGTTGGTAAGTGGTTGCTGTGGCTCATAGACATCTACATCTATCCTCGATTACGAAAATGCAGATGCGTTGTCATCTGTGAGAACTTAGGTGGAATGCCTCGTTTCCAGTAAAAAGGGTCTCCGGGTCTCTACACTCACCATACGAAACGCAGCAGCCTTAAGCTACTATTTGACGCTGGTATTCTGTGAGAGCGTGGTCCTTCCCCGGTCGAGCCGACCCATTCGTGCTACAACTATACTACTAATATAACTGCAGCATGGCTCTACCACGTAAAACGGTGCCAGTTCGATGAATTTGGATTTTATTGTAAAATATGAACGATTAAATTCGATGCTACGTAAAATTAAGAATTTCTTAGTAGACCAAAGCAAAATATTATGTTAATCACAATGTCAATCACAAATGCAAAAAATCATTCCGCGAATAATTTATTGCTTGCATATATCAACACCACTTTAATATAGTTTCAATGACAAAATTAATAAAATACTATTCTTGCTTTCCTTAATAAAAATTATTAAAAATATACTAATATTTTTAATCATTTTTACCTAATCATCAGGCTAAGGTTAAGTGAGCCTATCCAAAGCTTTTTTTTATATTGGTATTGGTGTATGTTTAGTTTCAACAACATAAATAAATTTCATCTACCTTGTTTTTCTTTGCTTTATAAATTACGAGAAGCTCGGGTCGGGTCTAATATACGGGTAGCAGTAGCACTATCTCCGGCTGAACTTATAAAAATATGCGAAAAATATCAGTACTTACACTGTTGTGTTTCAGTCTGGAGGGCATAGACTGTCGGTTAATTAACAGACTGTGAGGCATTCTATATTAGTCCTCAACAACAACTCATCTGTAGACTTTTTGGTTAAAGTTGGCTGCAGGTGTCCATGGATTACATTTTTTTTATTAGAGGGAGAGAGAGAGAGAGAGAGAGAGAGAGAGAGAGAGGAGGAAATCTTCAAAAAGACACCGGTTAAGTTGTTGTACGACCGAGTTAGCATTACTTCAGTAGCCTCACCATCAGGTGTAAATCCGATTTTCTCTTTTTTATAGCATAAGAGGACAAACGAGCACACAGTCCACTTGACAGTAAGCAGAACTGTGGCCCATATACATCGACATATTTGTCTTCAATTGAAAATCAAAATGCATAGAAGTACGTAGAGAAGAATATTCCTTGTTCCTCAGTGTAACACTCTGAGGAACATGGAATGATGATCTAAGTTGGAGTGCCTCGCTTCCAGTAAAAACGTTCCCAATTCTCTACACTTAACATTCGAAACACAGCAACATTACACCCCGGTCGAGCCGACCCATTCGTGCTACAACTATAATACAGTGGTAGTTTTATAGTGGCTCTACCACATAAAAAATATTTTCAATCTGATAAAAAATGGCAATTCCCCTGATGTTGCAGTTGTTCATGAGCGGCGGTAATCACTTACCATCTGGTGAGCCGTATGCTCCTTGCCCCCCCTCCTATAAAAAAAGATCTAATTCTATTAAAAAGATTTCTTCTAAGTGTTATTAACAAGACGCTATTGCCCATCACCTGGTACCTTTAACTGCTCCAGTACTGTTTTATTACATTCTAATTTATTACAAAGATCAATGATATGCAATCAAATTGAGCAGCAGCACTACGTTACCTTGTGTATTGACCTCCTTCCTATTATAATTTATCCGTCTCGAAGCTCTTCGAAAATATAAAAATCCGATCTTGAACTTTAGCTTTAGGGGTCAACTTTATATTTGTAAATTTGTCAAATACTACAGAATACCAGCGTGAAATAGTAGCTTAAGCGCTGTATTTCGATGGTGAGTGTAGGACCTCATCTGTCCTACGGTGTGATAATGAGAGAGTAGATGTCTAGGAAACTAGTGTTTTTCACCTACCTAGTGTTTAAAGTGATCAGGGTGTATGGTGTAAAGTTTCGAAATTGCTACTGCCAATATTAGTACCAAAAAACCCTATTGTTAAGGTGATTTATTATAATGAATCGTTACCTGTAATTGAATACATAATTCGTGTCAATGAGCACATCAACGACTTTTTCTGCCACCTGGGTGGCACCATTCGGAATAAGATAAAGCATTTGACTGATTCAATGGCAAAAGAAGTTAATTTGTTATAAAATGTACTTAATGGTTAATTTTTTTCCTGTATTTTTAATTATATTTTATATTATAATAGGTGAGGGTAATATGGTCATCCGGTTCATATGGTCACTTTCTTATAACTCAAAAACTACAGCCTTGTTTGCATAGATGGCTTTGTGATACGATAGCTCTTCATTGGTCAAACAAATAATAAAGGGTGAAAAGGGCGATGCTTTTTAGACGCCATTTTCAAAGTTGATATTATAGTAAATATATTAGTCTATTTTAGTATGGTGTTGTCCAGTTAGTTTTTTTAAGTAGATATTTCGAATAATTCCTATTTATAACCAAAGCTTTTATTCTTTTTTTCATAATATATTAGTATAGTATAGAAGTTTGTGTTTTTGCATCTGTCGTCCTTCTAGTTTTGGTTTTATATGGCGGCAAAGCTTAAGGTGACTATATTACCCTCACGTACTTTATAGTGTTTTCCCACGTAGTAAGACCACTTTTCTGCTTATCCGTCCTATTTACCTTAGAGAGTAACTTAATTAAAAAATGAATAAACCAAACTACGGATATCCTTAAAATTTTAAAAATTAAAAAGTTAAAGATTGTTATGTGTATTATTATACTGTATAAAAACGCAACTTCTAAATTTTTAATGGCATCGTGTAACAAATACTTTCATCTCAGTCCAAAATAGCGACATCTGGTGATCGGAAGATTGTTCATCTAATAGGAAGATTGTCCACATTAGACATTAACATGTGGAGCAATAGAATTGTGATCACGACACGTCGCGCCGTAGAAACTGAGTAGAATAAATTACCTTAAAATTTCCAAACCAGACTTAGCGACTTTAGAGTAGTATTTAATATATTATTCAAATCCGTTGTATTGAAAAATTAGTTAAAATATTATATGTGCCCTAAGGCCGACAAAGAAAGAAAGATTGCTGTGAACATTACAGGTGATCCAGAAATCATGATTAATTTCATACACGTTTTCACACATACACACATCTTTCTTCTTTCTGTCTTTTTACCGTCTTCAAAAAGGAAGAGATATTCAATTTGACTGTATGTTTTTTTATGTTATTTAAGAACTTTTTTCTGGGTGAACCAATTTTAATGATTCTTTTTTATTTCAAGCTGGTGCTTCTCGTATTTCCATATAAATTTGATCAAGATCTG